GGGCTCAAACACTGGTGCTATTTGATTTTTGCTGTTAGATTTTTGTGGTTGGTTTGTTTGTTTGTTTGTTTGTTCCCCCTCACCCCCCCTGCTCCCCCCCCAGCTGTTTTACCAAATTCTCACAAATACTTGACCAGAGTATTTGCAGCTGTACAGGCATTTTAAGACTACAGAAATAAACAGAGTATTTTCTTTTAGAACCTGCTTCTCTGCAGTTCTAGGAATAGATGCACCTTAGACTATATTCTAAGAACTAGAAGCTAGAATGAATGCATGAATGCATAAGTAGCAAATAGTCATTAATACATGCTGTCATGTGCTGTATTCATATTTAAAGCTCATAAGACAGAATAGACATTTGGTCTTAATTAAATAGTCTAAATAATACTTTTAAGTTGCTCTGCACTAGAGGATTTTTTCCCTCCACTTTGTTTTTTTAGTTAAAGTTTTTTGTTTGGTTGATTTTTTGTGTTGATTTCTTTGTTTGTGTGTTTGGTTTTGTTTTTTTTAAAATATAGATGGCAATTACTAGATACTCCAATATATCTAATACAACAAAGTTTTTTGAAGAGTGAATTCTTAACTAGATAATTCAACCGTGCTCAGCAACTGTAAATTGTTACATGTTGATAGCACCCTACAAGTATTACCATTCTGTAAACTAGTGTTGCTAAATGAATTTACCTTTGCCAGGTATATATGTGAATAGCAACAAGAGAGATCTCCAGTTCATTCTAATGTGAACTTGCCATCCTGAAATGGCTGTAGCTACTTCCTGTCTATGATGTATCAATTTATCTCCCCTGGTACACAGGAATAAATTCTGTACAATTTCATTACTATCTGACACTTGGTCCAGCAGTAAGAGAGAATTGAGCTCAAAACCTGATGTACCTAGAAAGGCTTGTTCTATTAGTTTTTCTGTTCTTCTGTTTGTCCTCCTCTACTAGTTTTGGTACTATTTAAAAAAAAAAAATAATTTCAAATAACACAACTTCTGATAGTGAGCAATGGATGCAAGTTCTGCCATGTATGACATGGTGGGTTTTTTTCTAGACTGTTTGAAGGGCTGAAATGGTTTTCCTTGATCTTGTGAGAGTGAGTGGACACCCAAGCACTACCAAACAGTGGAAGATAAATTGACTCAGTTTTGGCCTCTAGTTCCAATAACATGAAAGAAAGAGTAGCCCTTTATTTGCTACTGTATACCATGATTCATTCACTCATTTAGCTATTAGCCCTTGTCAGAATACATTGCTTTTGTAGCTTTTGGTGTTTCTAACTTTGTAATGTGTTCCCTTTTGCTTGCTTAACTCTCTTCTGCTAAACATGTAACATGGTATTGTGCACTAGCTCTTCCCCCATCAAGTTCCATAGTAACGGAAGTAAAAGCCCTGTACAATGATTAAGTTAACTTATGAAACAATTTAATATACTTGCAAAAATAAGTGTTTTACATTTTTTAAATATTATTTTCTTAAATTATGTGCTAGAGTTTCTGTAGGTTAAGTACAGACATGGAATTCCTGGTCCATTGAAGTCAGTGAGACTGAGATTTCATTGTAAATGTATTACTGTTGTAACAGAGCTATGCATCCTGAGAGGCAACTTCTACAGAAAGAGATAATTTTTATTATTATGCCAACTGACTTTTCTATTATTTCTTTAATCACAGATGGCAACAGAAGATGGTGCACTTTGGAAAGTGGCTTTCTGAGCTACTATGAAAATGATAAAACTACTACTCCAAATGGTATGATTGACATCAATGAAGTTATCTGTCTTGTAGTGCACAAGTCAGACTTCTTTTTAAATAGAGGGTAGGTTCCCAAATTAATATTTCAATAAACAAACTCAGCTATTTCAAAGATTTTATTCTGGGTTTTCAGACCTGCTCCTGAATTTTGAACATGCAATTGAGGAAAAAAAGCTGAATTGTGTTATGTTGACTTCAAGAAATAAGTGTGAAGTGTTTGTTTTTTTTTATAGTGGGATAATGAAAATGTTAGGGTAATTTAAAAGGGCAGCATAAATTAGATACATCTGTTTCTTATTAAAACTGTAATGCATATTCTCAGTGCTTAAAAGATTACATGATGATAAATTGAACAATTATTACTCATTTTTCTTCCTCAGATTGACCTCTGCCTCAAGCCAAAACTCTTGCTTTGTTTCTTCCTGATAATAATGCAGCATATTAGAGTTCTCCACAATGTTTTTGGTGCTGGTCACAGTTATACTAATCTTTGAAACTCATTTTTTTCTCTACAGCTGAGGACAGCAGTGTAACTGTTGAACACTGTGTTAGTTTGAAAATAACAACTTTTTATGGTCTTGTTTTTCTTTTATAATTCTCTTACATTCCATTTTTACATTAAGAAGATCACATGGAGATTCACCTAAATCTGAGTTGCATCCCAGTGATACTTTGTTAACTTGATTCTGTGGTAACTTGTTTACAACTTCCTGTTCAGTGAGTTGGTCTGCTTATATTAAACCTAAACAAAATGTTTTGAATGCATCACAAAAATATACTTGCTGAAATCACATGAACTTGCAAAAGCAAAAAATTACCCTGTGAATATTAATGACATTAGTGTGTAAACATATTTATTAATTTCAGAATTACTGAAGAAACTATTATGCAGTAACGTCTAAACATGTATTTTGTACCTGAAAAACACTTTGATCATGTTGTGTTATAAAATACTCTGTTATTACCAGAGTTGGACTTGTAAGATTGAAGGAGAAATGCAGATAGATTCCATTTCATAGGTATGAAACAATGAAAAAATAGAGAAATGGAACTTTTGTGTGTCTGCTGTTATGATGACTAACTACAGCTGCCTTTTTCCTCTTGCCTGCTTTTAGGGACATCTTTACCTTTGAAATTTACTTAATGTCAGAACGTGTTTTTCTGTTTGGAGCTGAAACTGCATATTCACAAAGAAAATGGACTTGGGCAATAGCTAAGGTAATACTGATAATTATCTTTTCCAGTTAGGCCAGGAGCCTTTGCACAAAGAATGAAGTGTCATTGTTAGCTTAAAATCCTCTGAGAAGCCATTTTTGATGAATACTGATCTGTCTTATGTGTAAAGGTTTCTTGTGCAGCAGGAAGAAATAACTTCTGTGATTTAATGTTTCAAACAAGATAATAAAATAAAATGGAAAAGGAATTGAAGCAAATTTTTAATGCTGATAAGATTATACTATATGAATTTTTCAGCTAACCTGTTTATGGTTGCAATTCTATTCTTTTATTTGCTGATACACAATTCATAAAGCAGTACTGTATTTTATACAGTACCAAATGCTAATAGTCACATTCCTAATTAAAACAATTGTAGTTTAAAAAGCAAAAAATTTTAACTGTAGAGTATGAATGCAAAGAATATCTTATACTTGATTTTGTAATTTATTTTTAGTGCATATATGGGTTTATGCATGATAAATATGAAAGTCTTATTTTTTTACTGTGGCTTTCATCCGTGAATCTTATAGATTTGCAGTATCTTGATTTGGTTTTTTTTTAGGGGAAGAGGGTTTTTTTTCTTTCATCTGACTCATCCCATTTTCTTTGGTAGCATTTTGTTCCCTCTGTGGCTGAATGCTTATTAGAGAGAGACTGTGACCTGATTGGCCAGCTGTACTACAAAGATTGCCATAACCTGGATCAGTGGAGAAAAGGCTGGTTTGCTGTAGAGAAGTCGAGCCTTTATTTTTGTCTTGAAATGGAGAATGCTGAAGAAGATTCCATATATCTAAGGCGGTTGCAAGAACTAAGTAAGAACTTTGCTTAACATCTAGAATTCAGGAAATACTCTACAGAATTAATACACTGTTAAGGACACTTCTATTACATATTAAAGTAATAAACATTAGGGAGCTCAGTAGCTATTTCTTTGCATGAACCAGATGCTCTTCCAACTCTCATCTAAATATGGAGTTGGTAAAGTTCTGTCTTGGATTTTTTCCCTACTTAGTGGTATACGCTAGAGGGATTTTTCACAGCTTCATAATGAATGAAGACAATTTTTGTTCCAGTTGCAGCAGTATCTTTCTTACAAGAGTACAGAATTGAATAATAATATATGACCTTTTGGGATTAATGTCTCATGTTTTTGACAGGGCAGAAGTACTCACTGCAGAACATGTTCTTGAAATGATTGACAGGTCTAGTTTTAAAATACTCAAATGCACTGGAAAAATTATAATTCTCTTGGAAAACTATTTCACAGACTAATAGACTTTTCTTTCTTTCTGATACTAAAAATATTCTTTGCTCAATATCATGACGTGGAAAGATAAAGAATATTTATACAAATGGTCTTCTATGACCAATTTTATATCATTGTCTGTAATTATTCTCTGAATCCTCTTTAAGCATATCTGCCCTACTTGTTTTTATACTGAACAAGGCAATATGTTATGTAGGAAAATATAAGTAATTTGAGATTTTGTATTATAGTAACATAGAGGAGATAATTTAGGTCTTTATTGATGATCCTCTTTGTAAATGCTATCAGATTGTGGACTGTTTTGCAGGAACTTGCCTAAATGCCATTGGGCTTTCTACTGTTTATTTACTGCCACCTTACATTTGCTGTGAATAACACCATGAAGGTGGTTTTTAGTCAAGAATATTTCTATGCCTTACCTGTCCTTTAACCTGTGAATGCTTTTTGATCTAGATTCAGAATTAAAAGGTTACAGGGTAGGAGAACTGTTTCTGATACTAGTTTTGATAATGCAACTATAATTGCTCCTACCCTAATCATATGAGCATCAAAAATCTGGGTATATCTCAAGTATAGAAATGAAACACATTCAGCTTCTGGTTGAAAATCATTTTTGCTTGGGCTTTGATTTTTAAATATTAGTTATATAGCACACTTTTATTACTTATAAGTATTATATATCCATAATTCTGTCTTTTCCGTAATTTTTGGTTTCCTTATAATAAATCTGTTCTACTCTTAAGACTCAATTGTATAACTGAAATTTGCCAAATAAAGAATAAGCAGTGAAAGTATAGTCACTTACCTTCTTGATATTTTGTTCAGTAAATGTAACTGAGGCCAGGAGTGTGTGTGATACAAAAACATCATATAATATGCTTCAGAATATGTTTATTGAGCTTCATGGATATTCAAGACTTTACAGTCTCTGGGAATTCATTGAGATAAGATGTGGATTATATATAAGATGTAAACTTTGAAAGAATTAACTTTTCAGAATTTTTAACCAGTAAACAAGTTACACTTATTACACCAGTTTTTAGTATAGTGCACAGTATAGTTTTACAAGCTTTGTTACTGAAAACTAACCAGCTGCATTTTCTGCATAATGTATAGTGTAGGTGTTTTGCAGGATGCCTTTTTTTTAGCAGGAATAGCATAAGACAACATAAAGAGGTTTGTATAAATCATATTGTTATTGTAAATATCTGCAGCCATTAGGCAAGTAAATTAACGAATTCAACAATCCAGCTTACTTCTGAATCTTTGTCTTCTAAAGCTTATAATAAAATTAATCTTATAAATATATTAAAATACTATAGCATGTTTTCACATTAAAAATACCTGTTTAACTTTTCTGTATAACTTTATTAATTTTTCGGGTGGCTGTATTGTGGTATTTTGTGGAGTTTTGTTTCCATTGTCAGCAGCATTCTTTATTTGAAATGTTTAAGAATTCTGTGCTCCTTTTGGCTCTCAAGATCATTTTGAAGAAACATGTCTATAGCTGCGTGCATGTATGTGTTTGTCTGTATGTATGTGTCTGTGTAGATTATGTGAATGTGTATGTGTTTTGTTTTCAGCAATCAGTAGTGTGATGCAAAATGGAGAGAAAATAGATGTCTTGCTGCTTGTTGAAAAAGGAAGGTAAGGTTACCATCTGAATAAAGCTTTGATTTGTTTTTATATTGATGCTTTAGAATTTGTGCTGATCAGTCATGAAGCTTTTTCACTTGTGGTTGCCAGAGAGAGTGAGTAAATTTACAGACTTTTTAAAGGAGGCAAAGTCTTTGAGTATTAGTTATGTTTCATGTCTATGTTGGGAAAAGCTAAAAAGTACTACTTAATTAAAAGCAGTTTTCCCACTGAGAAAATTATTCCCAGTGAGATTAGTCTGCCAATAACTGTTTCTTCAAAAGGACCTAACTTATTTTACCCTGTAAAGAAAGAGTATCTCTTTGGAGCTTTTACTTCTCATTTTTTTTTTAATAATTCCTATGTCCCAGAATTCTGTGTCTCGATCTGTGCAGATCAGGTTTGAGAAGGTATGTTTGAGTTCCCTGGTTAGTCTTAATTGTAATGTCTGATCTTGGTTAACAACAGACTAGATAAAAAGCAACGTACTTGTGAAGCAAGCGTGGTCCACATCTACTTCCAAGTAGGTAATATTCTGCTGAGATGACTCTGTCAAATACAGTGATGTGAGAGTTTCAAACTTTAAGTGAGCTAAGGTATTTCTGCCTCGTACATAGGTATGAATGTAAAGATGAAAGTAAAATCATTGAGAATTATTCTTATTTTATAATTTGTGGGGTTTTTTTATTTCAAGGATAGATTATTGGGCAAACGTCTGTGTAAGAAGTGGTGCAGTGTTTACACAGTCTTCTGAACAGTCATTAATATGTCAATAAAGCAAGATTGTTTTTCTCTTTGGGGAAACAAAAAAACACCAGAAGTAACTTTGACATCTATTCAGAGTTGGAGAAACTCATTGCAACTTGTGTGTTTTGAATTTTAACTCTTCCTAAGATACTTTTAAAGTTCCAGAATTCAGTAAGGTGATGCAGATCAGAAACAAACAGTTTTTTCTGTTGGTTTCTTTATTCGAAGCAGCATATTGTAAGATTCAGCATTAAGTAAGTGCATAGACCCACCAGGGAACAAGAGGTACCCTGTTCAAGGTGCAGTCCAATAGATGGATACAAACTGTATACCTGATTTCAGAGATACAGGTGCTGAGCAAAACTTCTAGGTCCAAGTCAGCTTATATTATTTCTTTCATTATAGTATTTCTGTCAAGTGAGGGTAGGTTTTCCCTGAACTACTTTAATAGTTTAATGGAAATTCTGAACTATTTGAAAATAATTTCAACAAGGGCACTGGCCTATTTATGGCAGCCATGAATATGTTTAATTTTTCTTCCCTGAAGTCTGCCATAATGAATTTAAATGTATAATGTTCACTTTATCTTAACCATTAAAAGCCATATGGGTATATAAGCTTTAGCATAGTGATTCTTGTTTAGGATATTACTTGATAAGTATCCAGGTGTTTAGCACAGTTGCATGATATTGCATGTTGTGGTGATAAGAAATTCAATATGTGTGTGGGGAAAATTGTTAAGTATAAAATCACCTTTTTCTTTAGGTTCAGTTATTCTAAATGGAAACAAAACCAGCAATCCTCATTCTGGCCCTCCAAACCCTAGATGTATTAATTACTTTCTTTGAGAAGTCATCAGCATCAACTAAATGATGTATCATAGCCTCTTGATTTTCCAATTTTGTGCATTATTTTATAGCAGTGCTTGTCTAATGCCATCTTTGGGTGAGATTTATCACTTGAAAGAGACCGTATATACTGCCCTATTGTCAGCTTTCGTATTACATGAAATTTTTTAGTCACTAAACATGAAATTTTTTAGTCATGACATTTTTAGCCACTAAAATGTGGGATGAACATCAAAATCTCAAAAAACAATGTTGCAAGAATGAAACAAGACAAGTGAGATTTTTACAGAATTAAGAAAAGTTTGGAATAAAAAAACCCAACAACACAAACAAACAAAAAACCACAAACAAACAGAAACCCCACCACCGTTTTTTGCATAGAAAAATAAATGTTGATGTCTTACAACATCTTGTTATATTTTATTAAAATAAACTATGAAAATACCTTGAGTACTTTCCTACTGAAGCTCTTACTGGTTTTCTGTTGTTTTTGTTACTGACTTCAAGCTAACTTCACATTACTTACAAAGACTTATACCTTTTTTTGAGTCTCAGTCATTGGATTGATTAATTTAGGTAGAGCCGTATGTTACATACCTTTTTCATTGGCACTTTTCCCTTTGACTACTGCAGGCAAATGAATAACTTAAGTTGCTACAAATGGGTGTCTCACTTAAGAGTGATTGCATATGCAAGTAAACCGTTTCATAACTATAAAATGTTCAAAGCTTACTGTTGAAGTAATTATAATATAATAAATCTATGTATTCTGGACCTTTAAAAAATACTTAGTAAATTTATGTGTATGTTACATTGATGGGGTACATAAATTTAATGTTCATCTGATTCATAACTACTCAAAGGAAGGGTTTACAGTTGGTTTTGGGCTGCAAGGTGCATAATGATTTCCAACTTGTATAAAGTACATTAATTCAGAGAGAATACTACCAAAAGGCATGTGAGATTTTTCTGAAGTCTTAGGTATGAATATGTCCCACTCTTGCCCACCCTCTCACTGCCCCCGCCGGCTCTTTTTTCCTTTGTTCCTCTATGCTGTTTTCTACTTAGCACCCTGCTGTTCATTTATTCTCTCTGACATGTTCAGTGAAGAAGACTACAAGCTCAGAAGTAAGAGATGGTAATGATACTATGCATTGCAAAGTAATAGTATGTCATGAGGGGCTGAACCAGGCTGGAACATTTTCAGAGCAACAAGACTGTTTCTTTTTTGAAGATTGCTGTTGGTTTTGAAGTTCAGTGTACTTACTAAATTTTCACAGTAATCCTAGACTTTTTCTAATTTTTTTATTTTTTTTTAATCTCAAAAATGTTTCATGTTTGATTTTGGTTATCTTTGCTAAAGTATATTAGAGAGTACTTCTGTAGCACCTATTGAAATTTTGTCGCACTATGATCTCTGTTGGATCATATTGTCCAACATGTTAGAAATATCTCCAACCCAGCTAGAAATCTTGACTTTTCCCAACACTGTTTTCTTATCCCATAATGAGATAATCATAAGCCTCCTTTTATGTTCTGCTTTCATAGTTAAAATACCTTTTGTCTTCTTGGTAGAAGTAGCAAACCATTTTCCAGATTTCTGAGTCTGACACTTCCCTCTGTCACACGGAGATGTCCTTTGGCTTACTCCATATTCAGTTCATTATGTTTGTTTGTTTGTTTGTTCCCACCCCACCTTGATCTCTGCTGTTTGTAAAATTTGTGTAGTGACTGGTGATACTCAGTCTCTTGTTGCCATCCAAACAGAAGTTGCATAGTAAATAACTGAAGAAGGTACTTCTGTGTAGTTCAACAGAGGTCAACAAATGTGTCTGTACACTGAAGAGAGGAAAGGTGTCTGAAAACAATGCTATGCAATAATTTTTAAATACATCTCTATATAACATTGAATGCAAAATCACTAATGTCATACGTTAAGGAAAAGCAGTTGTGTCTAGTTAAGTTTCAAAGGTTTCATTTTTTTTTCTGTAATAATTTAAGATCTCTCTTAGGTGTCAGTAACGTTTTCAGACCATAATGTAATCCAGATGGTGCATTTTTTTCCTTTGTTATACTTCTCTTTTAGTTAGCTCTTTCTTATTATAGATAATAAACCTTCCCTACATACTGGCACAATTTTTTTATGCTGATGGTTCATTAATTATAAAGTTTTCTTCTTAACCCTTTGATGATAGCAATAAGATTTCTTGTAAAATGCAGTTATGAGCACAAAATTCTAGAGTCCAGAACTAATCTAAACATAAGACTCAGTCTTATGACAGTCTTATAACAGCTGATGTCTGTTTCTCACCCTTCTTCCCCACGGCCTCTACCCAGAATCACTAAGTATCACTGTTTTCCTAATTCCTTTGTGCAACAAAGCATACAGACATAGCTATAAGATAGTGGACTTTGCAAGATGGGTTAAAGATAAGTCTTTGCACTGTTGTGGATGAAGCGTGCTCACGTATGTTGTTTGTCTGACTACTGGTGCAGAAGGATGTGATGGTAGTCTGTGATAAGGTTGAAAAGCTCTCAGTAGCTTCCTTTGATGTTGAGACAAGGTGATCTTAGAGTGCTGCAGTTGTTTGTGCCAATTCAGTTGTTCACTAAGGCAGAAATCTGCATTGGTGAGCCTTCCTGTTTTTTGAGTACTTAAATTATTAATTTATTGTGTATGGACTATATATGCTTCACAGTTAACAGAGCAAAAACTCTCCTATTCACCATGTAGTCACTTTTGCTATTTGTTATGAAGTGTCAGCTCTTTTTCAATTTTTTGAACTGGAAGAAGTAGCCCATATATATAAACATATTGTAGAAGGCCCTGAATTTGTATTTTAGGAATGCATTTTGGTTCAGAGTCTGTGCAAAGTAGCTGTTACTTTGAATGATAGTTAGGATTTTGTAAACATTGCAGTAAAAATTCTTTAAAACATGATTACTTCTATAAGCTTAGAAGTATTCTTGATATTAAGTTACTCAGTTTTATGATACATAGGACATCAGTATGCTTTAGCCTGTGTTTATAGGTTTCATCTTAAGCAATTAATGTAATTTTGTACTTTGATAATAGTAACTAGTTGAGTTAGAAATATATATAGAAATATATCTAGAAATATATGTCTGCTGTCTCTGAAAGCTGTGTGATGACACTGACATGAAAAGTAGAAGCTAGATCTGCAAAGCTGGTCTCTGTTACTTCATGAATTTCTGTAGAAGACTTCTACTGTGCTTTGAAGAAAAGTTGTGCTCTTCTGCTGGTGACTGTGGTCCATGGAGATCAAAAAATGGTTTCCAAGTAGGAAAAAAATGTGGTCTTAAGTTTGGCTGAAAGTGTTCAAAATAGAAGGAATGCTTAAACGTCTTATTTGTACATTGTCGTATGGTTTTGTGATTTAAATGCATCCTAGGTGTGCTCTCGCTCTGCTAAAAATACTGCAGTTAGAGATGAGCTTTCTAAGCCACTTCCACAGTAAATTGACTGAATTCTAAACTATGTCTGGTGCTGGATTCATTTCCTTTTCTCCCTTCTTCTCTTTTGTGATGTTGTAGTAAATGCTGAAATTGCTTCTCTGACTTATCCGACTTTCTTAGATGACTGCTTTGGAGTTTTTTAAGTGGACAAAGTGAGTAAATTTTTTAGAAAATCATGAGTTGACTTCCATGAACAATCCAAGTTCCACAATAGCAGCAAGATTTTTCATGTTTATATTTTTACCAGCAGCTTTTCTTTCATGATTATGTTGGTGGTATAGAACTGCTACTTAAACAGATACCCCATTTTCATTGATAATAAATAAGTATCCTCTTCCTCTGTAGTTTGAATTTAACTCAACAGCTTTTCAAATTTTAGAAAACAACGCGAGCATCATCTCTTGGTAGTTCTGGTATGTTTTTTCTAATGTTGAGGGGAAGATGGGAAGATCTGTAGAATAGAAGATAATATTTTTCACATAGTTTAGGTAATTCATATATCACAACAGTTGATTGACAGGCACGTGATTTGAATTTACGTATCTCTGTGAAGAAATACAGATAAGTTTTAATTACCTTTGAAGTTCAGTACACTACTATATTTCTCTCTCCTCCTCTGGTACCAATTCATTGATATATAGCAGAGTTGCCCCTTTTCTTATTTAGAAGTAATAATATTTTCACTTTACAGTATGCTGCTTCCTGTACGTATCATAATTCTTTAGGTAACAAAAAATAATCTGTTGAGACTTCCGTTTATCCTTCTGCATAATACCATAATGTGAATCCTGCTGTTCTGCAGGGAAAATAAAAACACAGTAATATGCATATATTTGTGCATCTCTTGTATTGGGAAGCACCATAAAACTTTCATAAATCATAGTCCTAACCTCTGCTGGTCTGTGAATAATAGCACTAATGGAATAGTGTAACATGCACTGTCAGACTTTTCCACTCAGTTCAAACTTTTTCATTTCCTCTCATATATGGCTACAGCAATACTGGAGGATGTCAGGGTGATATGTTTTTTTGGAAGTTGTTGGTTGAGAACCACCCATGTATGATATTTGTTCTGACAGGTCTTCAGAAAATGTCTGCAAGTATTGAATTAGACATGCTGATTTTCCTGTAAAATTTTTGTGCAACTTATTGGTTTTTCTTAATGGAAAGCAGAGGCTGAGTGTTTCTACTAGCCAGGCATGTGTGGTGGTTAATATGATGTTCAAAGTCATGAGGTGGAGACTTTTTAAAAAGGGGCTTCAGTACAATGGAATATTTTAATGTCTCCTACTCTGCTGCTGAATGACTGAGTCTATATGAGTCAGAATACTTAAGATGCTGAGTCTACGTGTGTAGTTAACTCCATTATCACTTTGTATCAAGACAGGAATGCTAGAATGGAAATGTTTATAAAAGTGAAATTGAAAGATGCTAATTAAAAAAAAGAAGTTAAATGTTCTATCATTATATAAAATGCTTCATTTTTTTCTCTCAATAAAATAATCAAAATTATATTTATTTATATTTTGATGAAAGTATTTTCATATAGATTCAGTAGAAAATTTTAGTTTTTCCTAATTAGCAAATAAATTGGCATTAAAGAAAACGAATCCCTTACATTTCTTTAGTGGGACATAAAGACTATGTATGTCGAAATGTTTGCTTGCTATTTTAATGCTTAAAAGAGTTGTTTATTAAATACATGCATGTGGGCGGACCCTTAAACTTTTCAATTTTAGAATTGACTCTTGGAAGCTAGCCTGTCAGAGGTAAACAGAGGAGATTATTGTAGCATGTTTAAACAATAAAATCAGAACAGGGCCATGCTTTGAGATAAACAGGTAACTGAAGTGTTGCATTAACTTATTCTACCTCAACTCAGTGTTTTCTTACATGTTACTTAGCTCTGTGATTTCCTGAGTGTGATCATTCCATGTGAAGGAGGGAAGATCAATATGTCTCAGCTCCTTTATGGAAGTGGAGGAGGGAGGAAGCCTTTTCCATTATTGACCGTTGTCTCTAAACCTCTATTTCCTGCTTAACTGTGACTTGGACTTATGAGTGCACATTATAGGAGCAAGACTGAAGAAGAGTAATTAAAATGTTGGTCAGGTCCTTTCAAAGGCCTGTGACAGTGTTTGTGGATCTTTTTTCTTTTATTGTGATACTGCTAGTACAAGAAAAAAAGGGGGGAGGGGGGTGGGAAGATGCTGTAACAATAGGCCACCACCATAGCTTTGAAGGTGGAAGGTACCTCGATGTCTTATTCTAAGTATTTCTTATTTTGTCCGGACATCTTCTATGTTGCCATAGTACAATAACAGTTTTCTATTTCTTTCCTGCATTCAAAATATTTTTATACTTTTCAGAACGCTATACATCCACGGTCATACGAAGCTGGATTTCATGGTCTGGTATACTGCAATTGAAAAAGCAGCAAGTACAGATGGCAATGCATTACAAGATCAGCAGCTCAGCAAAAATGATGTTCCTATTATAGTGAACAGCTGCATAGCATTTATTACACAGTATGGTAAGTATAGTAAGTATAGTGGATTTTATTCAACCTAAGATGGTTTGTATAATAGCTAAGCCGCCACACTATCATATCTTACTGAATGAGTTTATGTATTACCTAAAGTAAAACCATACCCCTCATTAGCCTCGCCGCTCTTTGATGCAGTGGTGAAATACACTGCAACACATCTGAGAATGGGCTGTTTGAGGAAATATAATTTGGTGGTTGCCCTTTATAGACACCTTCCTATTTTAAAAATTGACTTGTTTGCATAATGTAGCTTGGCCTTGGTGTTCAGTGCCTCCACACAGAACACCTAAGCCCTGAAAATAAGCTATGTGAACCAGGAAAAGCTTTGACCTCGACTGGTCAGCACATCTTCTTGGAAACTTAAATTAGCTGTGAAGCCAAGTTCAGTCTTAAGGCTGCTATTTTTTTCTGCATAATAGCCTAAGAACTACAGTCAGTTAGCATTTGTTTAAGTAAACATTTTGGCAGCATAACTTTCCGTAGAATTAGATCATATGCAGATAATGTCTATGTCCTTTTTACTACAGCAAATTCATCAGTTCTCTTGTGAAATACTAAATACTTATCAACCCTATATGAACTTGTCTCCAGGACAGGAGGTTACAGATATTTATCTGTACAGATATTTATAGATATTTATATCTGTAACCTCTGTCAGTATGAATGAAAGCACCTGATTTATATTTCAGTGATTGAAGTTTAACTAAACTTTTGAATATGGCAACACTGCATTATGCTAAATAGTTGTGCTTGGGTTGCAACTATTGCCTAAAACCAAGAAAAATATTATTTTTTAATTAGCACCAGGAGTTACTCTAAATATAGTTTACACTGTTTCAGGTACTGAAATGTTGTTAAAGCAGGGTAATTCTGTTCACCACTCAGAACAACCACTTTTGTGTGTTCTAAATTAAAATTCAGTTTCCTAATGTTTTTTAAATAAGTTAGATCATTATTGAAAAACATGGGTTTTTTTCAGGATCAGCATTACTGAACGTTAAAATACTCATTTGAATGCTAAAGGAATTATTTGTATGTATTACTTTAATGCATACCTGATTTTGTGTCATCATGTCTTTAGTTGTTGTCTACACTATCAGGTCCCACAGCTGTTCCTGACAGTAACAACAAAAAGGCAGTATCCAGTGGTAGTGCTTGTGGGCATTACACAAAGGGTGAATTGCATGAATATACGACCTGATTTCGTAGGTTTTGACAGAGTACTTAATTTGACAGGTACATAAGAAAAGCAGGGTTTTGCATAAAATATGATTCTCTTTTAAAAAATGTGAGAAACACCTCTACAGAGAGAAACAATGGAGCTGCACATCTATGCCAAACTTCCACAGGTTTAAAAAAAATAAAAAGTTTTGGCTAATCTCTCATGTGCAGTAGTTGAAGGTACTTTTGACTATGTTTTAGATTATGAATTTTCTTTTAAGTTCACTTTGGGCTTTGGTGTTTTTAGTTGTTAAATAGAAGAATAGTGGCTGCCTTATGTCTTCCTGAACATGAGAAACATCAGAAAAAGGGAATGTTTTCTACTAATCTTGAGGCTTTTAAGAGTGAAGTGTTTCAGATTGGATGGATAAAATAATGCTTTATTGAGTCCTAAGTTGATGAATCCTAAGTTGAGTTGATCAGTAAGGTAATGAAACAGTGGGAGTTTTTCGCATGAAAGCAGCTGTGTTTTATGTATAATACAATACCAGTCATCAAAACTTCTTTCCTTTACTATGCCTTTTGAAACTATTGTTTTAGGAAGTCCTGGAGAGATTAGGGGATTTGAATTGCTTGTAAAATGTTCTTGAAATTGTGATCCCAGGCTTGCTTAATATTATCATGTGTATGTTTGCAACAAGATCTGGTTGGATGTAAGCAGACCTGGCAGTGCTTTTACTAATGAAGTGAGTATGTTCAAAAGGTCAGAGAGATTTTAGGAGGAAATACATTGTGTTTCACAGCCAGCTATGCTTTTCATATAATAATGTTTGGAATTTTGAAAAGAATATGTTTATTTATTTTTCTGTCCTGTGTTTCTGTAACTTAGGTTTAGGTAGCAAGCAGATCTACCATAAGAATGGGGATTCCTCCAATGTAGCTGAACTGCTGGAAAGCTTCAAAAAAGATGCAAGGAGTGTTAAACTAAGAGCAGGAAAACATCAGCTTGAAGATGTGACTGATGTATTGAAAAGTTTTCTGTGTCAAATAGATGATGCACTGCTCACTAAAGAACTTTATCCGTTCTGGATCTCAGCATTAGGTAAGGTATTCAATAACACTCAATACAAGAAAGCTTGTATGTACATTTTCAGTATCAAATTTGAGGGGGTTATTAATTACTTTCTCTGTGTCGACCTATGTTTTTTGATAATCAGGAAAACAATTGTAGTGAGGGAAAAAGTATTTAGAGCCTGGCTGCAACAGACTTATGTTAAGCAGGGGTTATTTTACTGCCTTCAAGTGAACTAGAAGCATAGTAGCAAGTAACAATGTTTCCTAGACAATGCATCTGTAAACAGTAGACCAATATAGTGGTGCACTTGGCAGTGCTAGGTTAACTGTTGGACTTAATGATCTTAAAGTTCTTTTCCAACCTAAGCTATTCTATAATTCTATGAACATTGCACTGTGTAAGGTAAGAAGAGATGATTAATATTTTATGGAAGCACTGATGGTAGAATTCAAGAAATAGACAAATATCAGTGTAGGAAAAAAGCATGTACTCTTTTGACTATATCTAGATGTTTAGTTGAAAAGTGGCAAAATGTTGATGCTGTCATCTGCATGAAACTTAAATGACAGTCTTGCTGCTTATATTCTTCAAATATCTTTTATGGACATGTACAAGGATGTGTATTAATGATGTAAACTTGTTAATAACTGTTCCTTGTTTTTTGTTTCCTTAGAAATATTAATTAAAGTTAGCTCTTTTGTGAAAGTGTTACAGCGATGTAAGTTCTTGATTTGTATATGGAGCTAACTTCTGCTTTAGCTTTCCAGCAGAGAATCCTGTCCTGTTAAGTGACACTGAAGGTACTTGTAGGAAGACTAAAGCACTTAGGAAGATACAGTAGACCTTTAAACTGTTTTCTTGTTGTCAGTTTATTTTTTCTTTCAATTACCAAGGAAATCAAAACATAGTGCAGTTAATGGAGAGTGCTAGCCATCAGCTGGAACTGATGAGAATTCTGTGATTTTTCTTTTCATAAACTTGAGAGAAGTAAAGAACTGAGAAGAAAAAGCTAAATAAATAAAATTTACATTAACTTTGCTCATGCCCTGAACAGGATTATGTGCTATGGTGTCTATGCAGCACAGGGAGACAGACTTAACTTAAGGACAGAGAGCTGTGGCTGTTTCCCCAGATACTGTAATTCTGAAGACTGAAATTCCTATCATTGTTCAGCTATGTAACTTTGTACAGCTTATTTACCAACTCTTCCTCTTTGCTCTCCTCTTATCAGTCTTATATATTGGAATCTTTAAACGACTTTCAGCCATGAGACACTTTTCCAGTAAAAAATAAAAAAGATGAAAAGGACTTTTCATTTCTCATCTCTGGGAACTCTTAGGAAGTACATTTGCACTTGTGCATACACAGATGCACTCACACATGTACAGGCACAAACTACAGATTAACTGTTCTTAGTGAGGAAAAGCAATTGCTATCCTGGGATTTAGTCTTAAACTGTAGCAAATGGTGCTTGAATATAGAACTGGCTGTCTTCATTGCTATTATTGTTTCCCTGAACTGGTGTACAATAATAAACTTTGTTAATAGAAGATTGTCAGTGTTGCCTTTATGAAAAAGAGGTTGATTGGACAAATTGTAATTTTAAATGACTAGATGATGCCAATATGGTTAATGAGATCTGCTGTTGGTTTTTAGTGTGCATCATTATTAATGCTCAGTGATTATTATTTTCTGACAGATACACAGAATGAGAAGGAACGTGTGAGGAAGTATGGAGCTTTTATTCGGACACTTCCACCAGTCAATAGAGCAACTTTGGCTGCTTTAATTGAACATCTTTACAGGTCAATGCAAATGATGCACTGTAGCAGAGAAATTCTTGTAATGTGTTCTGAGTATAACTCTAACAAAAATGATATGTAACTTGTTTCATTAGCTAAGAAGCATGAAAAACTTGCCTAGTTGTGATGATTAATTATATTTTATTCCCTTTAATTTATAATGTGTTTTTTCTTTAGTTTTATTTTTAGCAGTAGGTATCTATAAATATCAATGGGATGGAACCACCTTACAGTAAGAAAGGGCTGCCAGTGTATGTGTCCAAGTAGGGTAATTTTTGATGTAGCTTCTTCATATGAACTCATTTAGCCCAGTCTGCTAGTCTTCCAGAGGACTGATATCTGCTATTTATATGTTTATTAAATTGATTGGTGCCATTACTGGGATAAAAATTATAGTAAGTATTGCGTTTAATGATGGTTCTAAGCATATCCAGTTCAAATATATTTATACCCTGTTATACCTTTTCTGAAAGTACTTTGAATTCATGTGTTTAAGCCAAAATTCTGTGATACTTTAAAGTGTTTGCTTCTGGAAGAGTACACATGTAAATAACAACTGATATGAAAACTTTACCCAAGTATAGAAACTAAGAAGGACCTTATTTCTTTCCACATTTTGATTGATCTTAGATCATAAGTTTGTACCATATACTTAAGTAACATAACATAGCAAAGCTGTATTTAGTGTTGGTATTAGCGGTGGTACAGCCTCACCTTGAATAATGTGTGCAGTTCTGGGCCCCACAATTTAAGAAGAATGTGAAGGTCCTTGAGTGTGTCCAGAGGAGGGTAACAGAGCTGATGAAAGGGCAGGAAGGAATATACTGTGGGGGGTGGCTAAGGACTTTGGGCTTGTCTAGTTTGGAGAAAAGGAGGCTGAGGGGTGACCTTATGGCTCTCTTACAGGTTCTTGAGGAGGAAAAGTGGAGAGGGAGGTGCTGAGCTCTTCTTAATATCCAGCGTTACGATGTGTGGGAATAGTTCAAAGCTGCATCAGGGGAGGTTCATACTTCATATTTGAAAGCATTTCTTTAATAAACAGGTAGTCAGATGCTGGAACAGGCTTCTTAGAGAGATGGTTGATATCCCATGCCTGATGCCCCAGTGTTTAAGAGGCATTTGGACAATGCTTTTAATAACATGCTTTAACTTCTGACCAGTCCTTACATGATCAGGCAGTCAGACTAGATGATTGTTGTAGGGCCCTTCCAACTAAACTATTCTATTCTGTTCTATTTTAAATAATTTTTATATCACTTGAGATGCAGATAGAAAGTTTAAGTTTTCATTTCTGTAATGAGATGTGAGATAAAGAATATAAAGGAATAAATACAAAAAGAATAAAATCAGATATTTTTCATTGCATTTAATATTGTTTTTGAAATGCTCTCCATATTCTGTAGAGGAGCCTCAGACAATTAAAGAAACCATGAAACCTTCTGAATGTGTTTATTTTTTCCTTCAACAGGGTGCAGAAGTGTTCTGAAATCAATCATATGAACCCTCACAATCTAGCCATGGTGTTTTCCTCATGCTTATTTCAAACTAAAGGCCAAACTAGTGAAGAAGTCAATGTAATTGAGGATCTAATTAAAAATTATGTGCAACTTTTTGATGTAGGTATCTTTATATAAAAGTATCCTAGTTGCTGAGCTGTTAGACATGCTAAGAAATCTTAAAGATGATCTTTCTATTAGTTACACTGTCATGGATTTGCAGGGCTTTTAAACTCTAATTCAGTGGACATTGTTCTTTGACTGCTTTAAATTTTATTTCCCACATAGCATAGCCTGTGTAGGAAAGACTGTATTTATAGGATTACTGTGAGCTTCTGTTTTCCAAAATGTGGTACATTCTTCTTGCTGACACTAGCATACCAATTCTAAGAAAATTTTAAGATTATGACTATTAAAAATAATACTTCTAATCAAATTCTATCGATCTGGTTAGAACTGAAGCATGGAAGAATCCTGAGTGCCTAGTTTGAGCTGTGATTACAATAAAAACTAGAGAAAGTGTTTAGTTCCTTAGGCCTAGAAAGAACATTAAATCCAATTGGACAGAAAAGATACTACAATTGTTTTAGCCATTTAGATTTAGAGTTTACTGTGCCACTATAACATCGGCAGTTTTTCATGGAGTCCTCTGTCTTCTAATGTGTATTGGGTAAAGTTTATAGTAACGAATCCTCTAAATGAAATGCTGTTTCACACTGATAGAATATTTTTCATAGTTGCTTCTATAAGAACATGATTACCAGTACTGTTAATTGTTAACAATGTTTATAGTGGTTACATTATTATTAATTGTTTTCTATTGTCAGATGTAAGCATTCCTCTATATTTCTGTTTATCTTAGTGTTTTATAGTAAATTAAAGTTTGCTAGTTTATGTTGTAATTTTTATACTAGCTCCCTTATACTTCAGAAATTATACATTTTAAACAGATAAACGAAGACCAGGTCAAACAAATGGATATAGAAAACAGCTTTATTATGAAATGGAAAGACACTCAGGTAAGTGGCAAATATCAATTGGTAGTAAAACCAATTTTAACAAAGACTATGTTGTTGTTTATGGGTTTTTCTACCTAGATTTCTAAATGTAAATTTCTAAATTTGTATAATGACTGGTGTTGTTAACAAAAGGGAAAGAGAATGAAATAAAAGAGGAGGCATAAACTGATAAAGCAAAACAGTTCTGTGTAAAGCATACTGTGGAGTTATGTTCTGGCCTAATCACTGGGATAACTTACAGGATGTTACATGCTTTTACTATACTTCATAAGTTGTAGTAGAAGGAAATGATAACATATGCAAGTGTGAAAGTGATGACCTGTCTTTTTTTTAATTTATTTTAAACATGCATATTAAATACCTTCAAGACTATATTTTATTTTCATGAGCTTTGGGTACACATGGTTCTCTCTATTAGAGTTTCACCATCTCTTTGGGTCTAAAGCATCTGAATCTTTAGCTGCACCCTGTTTTGTGATAATTTCTAGAACTCCAAGCCCAAATATTATTTGGGGAAGCTTCGGACACATGGTAGCTGTCAAACTAACCTTCAGGGTACAGTATGAGAATAAGGAAGGTCTTATGCCACTTATTATCATCTTGAGTTCAAATCTTACCTGTAACAACTTTTGAATAACTTCAGATTGGTATGAAACAGCAGAGTGATAGCATTTTTCACTGTCTGAATGGTATTTGTGTACAGACCTAATTAAGGCAGGAATTGGTAAGTTTCGTAACACTACCAAGGTGGTTGAATTAAGAGAGGTAAAAGAAAATGTAGGGAGCTTAAAATCATTTTCAGAAAATTAAAGTAGTGAAAGAGAAGCTTTTTGGAGCTTATAGAGTTTTAGAAACTAATAGAAAGCTAGCAGGAAAATAATCTCTAATTTTCAGTGGCTGTCTTTCCCCTTTCAGCAAGTTTTGTGGTACCTTATAAGCCATTCATTAAGAAGACAGGCTCTTGCAAATACCTGATGAAATTGCATGTTCAGTGAATTGCTATCTGGAGTCTTATTTTTATCTTGTATCCCCTTATTGTCAGGGTCAGTGTGACATGAAGCTTTCTGACCATAATGAATTACAGTGAATGTGCATATCGAAGGTAAAATGCCTATTTCCTGCTTTTGGTGCCTGGTGGGGAATGACCAAACCATGGGGAAATAAAATTTATTTCTAGTGTCTGTCTTGCAGAATAGAAACATTTGCCTTGGTCATGGCAAAAAAAAAGCCCCTAGTTTTGATATCCCTAAGAGCTTTTGCAAGGCAGGGGTTGAAGTATCATTAATGGAACTTATTAATTCTGAGGTCCAAGAAAAGGAACTTACTGAGATTAGGGAATAAAATTTTGAAGCCTAAGATAGTTAAAATGTATACACTTGTGGATATATTCTTTTCTGTGGTTTTAGAACAACAACAAAAAATGCTTGTTACAGCTTGTTACACTATTAACATCTTCCAAGCAACTCTGGGAAGGTGTAATTGTTAAATGTTTGTGGTAATACCTTCTGGAAAAAATAGGGAGATATGAAAGGAGTTTTGTGAGTAGAGAAAGAGGTAGTGGAGACATTTTGATTGGATAGGGGGGAAAAAAGTAGAAAGGAAATGGAAAGGCTGTTGATGGATTGAATAATATAGTAGCAACTGCTGGCTAGGTGGGTTTGTCCAGAACTGAAGCTGTGAGGAATATAGAGAAGACCCAAATAAAGTGATTTTTTTTGTTTTTTTTTCCACCCCGGATACCTCTGCAAAATCACCTTTATGAGGTGTATTATATTTAGAAGGCTGCATATTGAAGAAAAAGAGTATAGGCTTTCTAAAATTAATAAGCTGTTTTTTTTAATTAAAAAGCTTCTTCCAGCACCTGAAAAGGTAGTCTTCCAAGTTTTAATTTTTATATGGACCCTTCCTGAATAATTGGGTCTGCTTGGACTGGTTTCCCTGGCACTCTCTAAGTTGTTGGGAGGCAGAGTTATGGAAAGATTGAACTGGGATTTTAACTGTTCTTATTTTGCTCCCAGCAAAGTCTCTAACATTAGGAGTCAGCTTTTTGAGTTGATGGTTTCACCTACTGTGTTAATAGACTCTGACTTGATTCTCATAACACAGATGGCTAAGCTTTACAAAAACAGTAATATCACTTTAACCTTAAAAATAAAACAAAATCTGCTACCTCATCAAAGAAATATCGTAGAATCAGAGAATATCTTAAGCTGGAAGGGACCTGTAAGGACCATCCAGTCCCAATTTCCTGCTTCTTGCAGAGCTACCTGAAACTAAACCATATGATTAAGAATGTCATCCAGATGCTTCTTGAGCTCTGACAGGCTTGGTGCCATGACCATTTCCCTGAGGAGCCTGTTCCAGTGACTGACCACCCTCTTTGTGAAGAACCTTTTCCTAATGTCTATCTGAACTTCCCCTGATGCAGCTTTATTCCAGTTGTCTAGGTTGGAAGGAGCCTTTTAAGATCATCTAGTCTAATTACACTGTTACTCAAGCATGACCTCTTAAAGCATGTTGCCTAGGACTGTGTCCTGTCAGATTTTTAATGTCTCCAAGGGTGAAGCCTCTCTGGGCAGCCTCCTCCAGTTTGCCCACACTTGCAGCATAATTGTTCTCTTGTGTTAAGATTGAATTTTGTGTGTTTTGAATTTGTGCCCATTGCCTCTTGTCCATTGGCATTCTTTTCTGTGAGGGGATATTGTTGACTTATAATCAGCCAACACGAAGGTCTTTCTCAGCAAAACTGTTTTACAACTGGTTGTGTCCCTGTGTTCTAATACCTGGGATTACTCCTTCCAAGGTGCAACACTTAGATTTCCCCTTGCTGAACTTCATGAAATCCCTCTGTGCCCAGTTCTCCAGCCTGTTGAGGTCCTTCTGAATGTATCAGCCATGCCTCCCAGTTTGGTACCATCTGCATACTTCTTGAGGATGTGCTGTGTCCTGTTATTCAGGTCATTGATGAAGATTAATGGTGTCCTGGCTGTTCAGCTGGTTTTCAATCCACGTTACTGCCTGCTTACATAACCTGTAATTTGTCAGCTTGACGATGACGATATGGGAGACGCTGTTAAAGACTTTACTAAAACTGAGGTAGACAACATTCACTGCTATCCTTTTATCTGCTAATGCTCATTGTAAGGGACTATCAGTTTGGTTAAGCATGATTTCCCCTTTGTAAGTCCATGCTGATTAAACCCAATCATCTTGCTCTCCTTCGTGTGTTTGAAAGTGCTTTCCAGGAGGATTTTCTCCATCACCTTCCCAGGGACAGAGGTGAGGCTAATGAGCTTATAGCTCCCCTTCTTTCTTGCTCTTCCTGAAGATGAGATTGATACTTATGCTCTTCCAGTCTTTTGTAACCTCTTCCAGTCATCATTACTCTTCAAAGATAAGTGAAAGTGACTTTACAGTGACATCAGTGAGGTTCCTCAGCACTTTTGGGTCCTATCTGTCAGGCCCTATGGACTTGTGTACATTTAGTGTCTCTGAGTGCTTCTTAACCTGGCCTCCTCCACCAAGGTAATCTTCTTTGCTGCAGTCCTTCCCTCTGGTTTCAGAGGCCTGGGATTCTTTAGAGTCAGTCTTATCAGTAAAGACCTGAGACAAAGAAGGCATTGAGTACCTTGGCCTCTTCTGTGTGTTTTGTCACCTGGTCCCGTGCCCTATTCAGCGGGAGGCCAACGTTTTCCCTAGTTGCCCTTTTGCTGTTCATTTACTTGTAGAATCCCTCCCTGTTGCCCTTTGTATTTCGTGCAAGCTTCAACTCAAAGTCATCCCTGCACAATGAAACAGTAGCTCTGCACTTTTCTTGGTTTACCTGTGTTGTGTTTTAGGCCCAGTGCCTAACTGAGCACCACGATGCCCCAAAATGGGCTAGTCAAAATAAGGACTGGGAGGACTTCTCACCACTTAAAAAGGTCACAGGCAAAAGACAGATTCATCATAAGGAATAAAAAAAAAAATCAAAACAATTTTAATTAGTTACCAACATCAGAGTAGAACAATGGGAGATACAACCAGATCTTAAAGTCAAAATACCTTCCCCCCACCCCTCCCTTCTTCCCAGGCTCAGCTTTTGTTCTTTCCCTTGAGGCGCAGGGGGATGGGAGTGGGGATCGCAGTCAGTTTCATGCCATGTTCTCCTCAGGGCTAGGAAGACTCAGCCCCGTGTCTCTCTCTCTGCTTCCATGTGGCGCCCTTTCCGTAGGGGAAAAAGTCCTCAAAAGTCCAATATGGGTCTGCCCACAGCTGCAGTTTCTCTCATGGACAAAACTGCTTCAGCCCAAGTCCACAAAGCTCCAATCTGGATCTGCCCACGGTCACAGTTCCCTCACATACGAACTGCTCCAGCATGCACTGCCTGGAGTCACGACTTCTTCAGGAGCAGCCACTGCTCATGTGGCCCTGTCCCACCGGTGAACTCTACGGACTGCAGGCCAATTGACCTGGCTCTCACCATGGGTTGCTAGAAAATGGAACCTGGGCTCTGTGTCCTCCTCCTTCTTCCTCTCTTTTCTTTCCTTCAACCGACCTTGGTGTTCTTCAAAGTTTTTCTTCTTGTGCCCTGCTCCTTTCTTCACTGCAGGTCTCTTTTGATGGTTCTGGAGTTCCTGGCTCACTCTCTCTCTTTTTCGGGATGGAGCTGCAGCGGAACTTAAGCTTAAGTTGTGGTCGGGGCTGGCCAAGCCTGGCTGGGCATGGCTGGGGCTGCGCCACCCGCACCTAGGGCCACACTGGTCAGGACCGGTGCCAGAGAGAGAGAGAGGCATGCCCTGCACCACCCTTAAATACATGAATTCGCGGGGACGCTGATAGGCTTGGCCTTGGTCAGAGATGTGCCTGACAAAGGCAAAGGGGGAGCTTTTCAGGTAGCTTCTTAAAGGGCAATCTCTGTAGCCCTTCCCCCGTTACCAAAGACACAACCAAAAACCCCTCACAGAAAACCTGATACAACCTGGCACTGCTTCCATCTCTACTACTCTTTGTTTGTACATTTGTATACAGAATGATTGATTTTCCTGTTTCCTAAACAGGACAATGATGTCAACTTAAAGCTGTAGTTTGTGTTCTTCTCCCTGTAAAGAAAATAAGTAATGCAAAATTCCTAGAACCAGACTTGGTCACTGGGACACTTTAAAATGGTGTATTTGAACTGATTCCAGATTCCTACTTGGAAAGTATGAATTCTTATTATTCTGTACATGTTTCTACAACCTGTTATGAAGAAAATAGTAACTGAGCTGCTGGATTTCATTGATTAATCTCTGTCAATATTGTATCTGAAGTCATCATGAAATGCTGAGTTTGAGTTAGAAAATGTTTTTGGACCTTATCAAATCATGAATATCTTTACTCTCTGGCATTTCCTGGAAAAGGAGCCACCAGAAGTCAGGATAGCAAATATGAACTCAGGAAACCTTAGTTGTTTAAAAGCGTTTGCCCAGAGATAATGGTGTTTTCCTTTTTAGCTTTCTATACAAGCAATGGACATTGGAACAAACCTTCTACCTTTTAATGGTTGATAAATTGAAGTTTGAACTGCTTTTAAGAATAGGAACTGCATTCTCTCTGTTATGTCAGTATATATTGAATATAAAACTGAGGGATGAAGTCTGCAAGAGCCTGACTGTCATTTGTGGCAATTTGATTGTGACTATGAACATTTTTCTCCTCTGAATTAAGCTTTGGAATGTTTTTTGCCAGTTGCCAGTTTTTTTTCTGTAGTAGACATTATTAATGTAACTAGTGTTTCAATTTAAAAATACATTTTCCTGAAACTCCTTGTACACATAACATGTGAAATGCATGGATATATCATATGTGGGACCACTTCAGTGTGGAAGGGAATGATTTTGATCAAAGATGATGCACTTGCTATTATTTCAAAGTATTTACTGCCTGAAGCCCCCTGATTAGAGAAGCTTCTAGATGGTTACATGATTGTTAACTATACATGGTATTGTCAGTAGGTCTTTCTAGGGGAATACATTAGAGCCAGACTTGGACTAACAATAAGCATTTTTTAAAAAGATTAAGCTTCTTCTATTGTGTTTTACATTTCTAACTTCTCTCATGAGTATAATGTGCATATTACTCATAATTTCAGAAGACTAGACTATATGAATGCCTACAGTTTGTTTTATCAGGCTTGGCCATATAACGTTCTTTTAAACTGCTGTTAAGACCAACTTAGCATTTAATGCTTTCATTAACACTTATAAAGAATAGCCAGATCCCAGCCACTTGTCATGAGCTGTATTTGCCAGTACAGACCTGACATAGGATGAATGTTTTCAGAATAAAAGCAGTGGTTAGTTGGAATGGTGTAGCTTTAACTTGATATCTTCTTATTATTTCAGTGAAAGAAAGAGGAATGCTGAAACATTCTTTTTCAGCTGCTTTACTTCCTCTGTCAGTAGCTACCATCATTCAGCCTGTAAGCAGCTTGCAAGACAGTGCATATGGAAGACTTGCATATGCAGATAATTTAGCATGGAGATTGGACTTCATGCAGGGAGAGGTAGCTCTTTGGGAACTTTTTTGGATGGGCTTTCAGTTACTGTTAAAACTGATGTAACAGCGTAGGTGATTGGCAGCCTAGGCCTCAAGCAACTCCAATTAAGAATTGTGTGTAAGAATCCTTTCCATTTAATATCTGATAGTCTGACATTATTGCAAAAAAACATACACATAGTTGTGGGAAAATCAGTGATGCAGATACTTAATACATTTGAGTGTATGGGTTACTACAGTAGTATTATCTCCAGGTGGGTGGCGCATTTTTCGTTTATCATAAAATGTTGGATTTACTGACTTTCCAATTTCTTTTAAAGTTTCATATTTCGACATTTTTAAATGTGTTTGTTGGTATTGAGTGTATTAAACTATTATATGCTATGTAATGCATTTGCTTTATCATCTAATCCATGTTACCATTGTACATAAAGTTTAGATATCTCTCTAACAGATTTGAAGATCTATATTTAACAGAGATTGATACCAAGAGCATTTGTTTTGATTCCTGTTTTTTCAATATAGAATCATAAAATGTTTTGGGTTGGAAGGGACCTTTGTGATTATTAATCATAAATGTAGTCTTCACAGTAATGAATTTTTATTATCTGGCTATATACATATAGCTATATGACTAAAATACTCTCTTATTTGTAATTTATACTCTCATTTTTAATTAACTTATTTTAGTTTGAGGTTCCTGTCCTGTCACTTTTCATACTTTTAAATTCTGTTAATCTGGTTGGGCTCTGAAGTGAACATGGCTAGCCTCTAAATCAGAGTTATGGTTCTGACAGTTTAAGATACTAAGGTACATACATGTCTTAGAATTTACAGTCTTAAATATAAATTTAAAATTTCCACTTATTTCATGTCTCCCTTGATATTCCTGCTCTTTAAGATATATTTGTAAAATGTGTTAATTTTTTTTACATGATTCAGTTAGATTTACTCAGGGTTTGGATTTTCCCTCTGAATCTGTGAATAGGTTTTGTTTTCCTTATACTGGTCTAATAAAAGTGAACATAATTTCCCATGTTTTTCCCATTAGAATCAACATTTGGACTATTTTTGTCGATAAATGGGTGAGGGAAAAAAGTTTGAGTTCAGTAGGTTCTAGTTCATCTACTAGATAATAATTGTACTTTTCCTATTTAAAAGGATGTTTAAAATATTTTTAAGACAGTCTAATTTTTTTTAAACTTTTTTGTTTTAGGTTTCCCAGGCTGGAGATTTGCTTATTGAAGTTTATGTGGAAAGAAAGGAGCCAGACTGTAGTATTATAATCAGGGTTAGTGTATAAAAGTGATACAGTGGTTTTGATAAGTGCTTTTTCATGTAGTGTACCAAATTTGTTTTCATACATGTTTTTATATAATTACATAATGAAAGTATGAATTTATATCTGTCATTATTCTTTTAAATAATTTCCTTTAAAATTTACTGTTGCCTAAATTTTGTAAAGACTGATTAAGCATTTTTAATGAGAGTGTTATGATACAATCTTAAAGGGGAGATGTCCTCCTTTAGTTTTACCACAGTATACAGTCTTATCTATTATTGCAGATCTATGGGTGCAACACACAAGAACATTAACAAGTACACAGTGAACGCTGTTTTCATTAAATAGTACAAGGCAATTTAAATGACCTTATTCCTTTTTTTTTTTTTTTTGCCGGTATCTAAAGCTTTCTGCTTTACTTGAGTGCTAAGAAACCAAAGCTTGTTACTTACTGTAATTGAGATTTTTCAGCCTTATGTCTGATAGCATATTGTAAACACACTTGTCTCTATGTAGTAGTGCACAATTGTTTGGGTGCTGAAGAAAAAAAGAAAGTAATTTCCATAATGACAAAGGACAGATGTGATTAAGAAGGAAGCAGAAAAATTAGGGTAACGGCTTTGTTTGTTTGGTTTGGTTTTTTTTTAATAACGTTGTACCTCTCTGTTTCCATTTCCTTTTTGTTCTGTTCAGCATATGACATTCAAACACTTATGTTTGTGCATATGTGGTGTGTGATATACATAGATACACACATCTAAGCATGCACAGAAGACATGTTTTTTTGATAGGAATAAAAATGGGAATAAGAATTTTTTTCCTAATTTTTCAAGGGTAGAGAAAAGGAATTTAGAGGTATCAGTCACCTAAAAATTATAATTTTGATTTAATGGAATAAAATGAGGAAAGCATGCTGGACTCTGACAAATAGTTTATGGGTTTCCAACTCATTATATCTGCTTGCTATTTTTTGTTTTGGTTTGTTTTGGTTTGGTTTTTTTTTGTTAATAGTCAATTACAGGTTGGAATATTTTGAAAAAAAAATCAGAAATCAGTAATTGTAAGGTATTATATACTGACTCAATTTATTTTACAGGTATCACCTTTGATGGAAGCAGAAGAATTAACTAATGATGTTTTAGGAATCAAAAACATTATTCACAACAAAGATGATATTTGGGCTGCTTTTGAAGTACTCGAAAATGGAGAACTAGGTTAGTGACACTTAAATTAAGGCATCAAATTTTCATCATTCAAATTTCATCATCAACGTTCATCAGATTTTATCATCTGTATTTTTCAATACTTAACATAACCAAAGACTTTGTTCAAGAGTTACTAAAAGGTTTCTAGAAACAAAAATTAGCCTTCATGCTGCTGTTTTACATTTGGTTACTGAAGCATCTGCGCGATTTCTTCTTACACTTTGCCAGAAATAATGTCATGAATTGTTATAAAATGCCATGAATTGGGGTTGAGAAAATGTTCCGTATCTTACTGTGCTTCACAGTTCATTAGTCATCAGCTATAGAAAAGTAGGTCTTACCAATAAGTCTCAAAGGAAAAACTTGCTTTCATTAGAATGCCAGCAGTTGATTTTACAAGGAATAATGTTTTTCCGAAAATGAAATGAGAAAATACATCTCATCATTATGGTTAGGCTTCATGAATGAAGATAAGGGAAGGACACTACCCACGCTTGCTGCAAGCGTGCTGATGACTAAAAAAACCAATGCGGGATAGGCAAGTCTGGTTGCAAAAGGCACAGTGGAAAGTCTCCTTAGGTGGTATTGACAAGGCACAGTTCTTTCTGCGTTATCTTTTCTCCTCGAGACTGATTCTACGTGCGTTCTCAAAGGAGACAGCAGTGTCATGAATGGTGTGTCTCCCTGTGTCCCGATTGGAGGCTAGAGTGGACCACTGATGGTAGTCAATATGGCCAAAACTGAGGTATTGTTTCAGGCAGTCCTTGTATCTCCTCTTTGGGGCTCCTCTGCTATGGCAGCCGGTGACGAGTTCACCATAGAGTACAATCTTAGGGAGACGGTGATCCTCCATCCTGGAGACGTGCCCTGCCCAGCACAACTGCGTCCTCAGCAGCATGGCCTCAATACAGGTGACCACTGCCTGTTCAAGGACAGTGACATTAGTCACGTAGTCAGTCCAGTGGATGTTTAGGATTGTACAGAGGCAGCGCTGATGGAAGCGTTCGAGGAGTCGCAGGTGGTAGTGGTAGATGACCCATGATTCAGATAAAAGAGTAGACAGTACAGTGGCTCTGTAGACACTAATCTTTGTACTTTTCTTCAGGTGTTTATTGCACCAGACTCTTTTATGGAGTTTTCTGAAAGCTCTATATGCCTTTGCTAACCTGTTGTCTCTTTGTCAATCTTACCATCTGAAGAAATGATACTTCCTAGATAGTTGAACTGCTGGACTGACTTAGCTCTGATTTGTCTATGGTGATGTGGGGATGATGGAAGACTTCCTGAGGTGCAGGTTGGTAAAGAACTTCTGTCTTCTTCAAGCTGACTTCCAGCCCAAAAAGCTCCACAGCCTCTGCAAAGCAGGATGTTAAGCGCTGCAGAGCTGCTTCTGTATGAGCAACGAGGGCAGCATCGTCAGCAAAAAGCAGCTCGTGGACAAAGTGATTAAGGGGCTTAGTGTGGGCCTTCAGTCGCCTTAGGTTGAATAGGCTCCCATCGGTATGATATCAGATGTAAATGCCGTTATCTTCATCGAGATCTGCCATGGCCCTTTGGAACATCATGCTGAAGAAGATTGTGAATAGAGTTGGTGTGAGAACACAACCTTGTTTCACACCATTGGTTATTGGGAAGGGCTCAGAGAGTGCATCGCCATATCTGACTTGGCCGCGCTGATCCTCATGTAACAGGATAATAATTTTGAGGAACTTAGGAGGACATCCTAACAATTCCAAGATCTGCCACAGGCCTTTTCTGCTCACAGTGTCAAAAGCTTTGGTGAGGTAACGAAAGTTACATAGAGTCCTTTGTTCTGTTCCCTAAATTTCTCTTGGAGTTGCCTGAGAACAAATACCATGTCTATGGTACTCCTGTTGACTCTGAACCCACATTGGCTTTCAGGTAGAAGTTCTCCTGAGATAACTAGTACTAGTCTGTTTAAAAATATAGATTTTACCAGCAGTAGAGTGCAAAGTAACAC